CCACATGGTGGCGGTGTTGGCCCGGTGCGCACTCCGCCGGCTGGGGGCCTGGGCGGTGGGGGACTGAGCTGCCCTGGCTCTGCCCGACGGGGCGGGGCAGCCGGTTTCCGTGGGGAATACTTGTGCGAGTGCGAATGGCTCTAAATTTCGTTCCTAGACTGTGAAGCCCTTGAGGTCAGGACCTGTCTTTTGCACCTCGGTATTCCCTAGAATGCTTACTGTCTATCTGGGGGGAGCTCAGTAAACATTTGTTGAATAGATGAATTTTCCAAAGTTTGATAGATTTACTTTTCTGGCGTGTCTTATTTCATTTTGCTTTCTTTTACTTTGGGCGATGTTGGAAGTACTTGCACGTGTCTGAGGTTTCGTTTCGGAGGCTTTGTCTTGATCTGAGTCTTCTGTCCTGGTAACCGTGCGCTGTCTGTCCTGCAGAGGCTGAAGGATGAGATAGCGGAAGTGGCTAATGAAATCGAGAGCCTGGGGTCCACGGAAGAGAGGTGAGTGTCACGCAGCTTCGCCAGGCACCCAGCCTGTGGTTGCGGCGGACTCGGAGAAAGTGCGTCTCTGTGCTCTTCCCCTGGCGAGCACGCACGTAGCCGGGCCTCCCGCTTTGCAGCCTGCAGTGTGGGGGCTCGAGCGTGGACGCGACGGTCTCCAAGACGGGTGGAAAGGTCGGACTGAGGCGAGAACTCGGAACGTCCCCCACGGCCTTACAGCGCCCTCAGTTACGTGTGAACCACGAGTTCTGACTCTCTCTGGTCCACTGTGTGTGTATTTTGGATTGCTACTGTGTGAAGTTTGAGAAGGCTGGACGCCGGTTACGTCTGGTGTGGCTGCGAGCTCACCTCCCCACACGGGGAACAGAGAGTGCAGAGGCGAAGCACAGTGCAGAGCGGCAGGGAGCATCTGCGGGTCGTGTTCCTCCTAACTCCGTGAAACGTTAGGGGCGTTGCGGGTTTAGCTCTGAATGGGGTTCCCAGACCGTTTTTAACTGCTTAATGTGGTAAATGGGTTGTTTCTAATCATGTGTCTGTGTTGTTCTAAGCCTGAGTCTCCCTGTCTGGCTTGGTGGGACCGTGTGACTTTGCTGTCCTCAACCCCTCTGGGCAGAGCCCTTGGGGATTAGCAAAGCCCCATTTGGCAGAAAGCGGCCAGCTCATCACTCTGGTCTCTGTATTATCAGCTCAGGATTATAGCTTTATTCCCATTTTTAAAAATTGTAGCTTAAAAGAATGGATAACTTGGAGTTCATCACAATTTAAAATTTTTGCTCTTATAAAAGATACCGTTGAAAGAAGTAAATAAGCAAGCCACCGACAAGGAGAAAATGTTATAATACCTGTACTTGAAAAAGTATCTGTACCTAGACTATATATACACACACACACGCACACGCACACATACATATATACATATAAAGAATACGTGCAACTGGAAAAGATAGCCCAGATAAAAAATGAGCATAGAACTTGAATAGACACAAAAGCTGTATGTGTAAAAGACACATGAAAACGCTGACCTCGTTAGTCCCAAGGTGATGCACCTGAGCACTCCCCCGAGGGGCCGGCCCACAGCTTCGGTGACTGAGATGGAGCAGGCCGCCTCGTGCTTCTAGGCCTGGTGGGCGTAACGGGGGTGACCACGTGGGTAAACAGCTGGGCAGGGCCTCACGCTGTCGCATGCACACCTGCGCCGTGGCCAGTAGTCCAGCTCCAGGTGCTTACGCATGCGGGAGCGCGTGCCCACACAGACTGTGCAGGGTCACGTGCAGCGTCCGTGTTTCAAGTAGCCCTGACCCAGAAGTGACTCCGGTGTCACCGTAGGTGAGTGCGTGAACAGATGGGGGTCATAGGCCGTCAGCTCGCACACCCGCTGCTGGGGTGAGGAAAACGTCGCCGAGCTGGGTTGTGATGGTCGTACAACTCGGTAGGCTTGCGGACGTCATTCAAACGTGCGCTTGAAATGGGAGCGTTTGTCACCGTAGGTGAGTGCGTGAACAGATGGGGGTCATAGGCCGTCAGCTCGCACACCCGCTGCTGGGGTGAGGAAAACGTCGCCGAGCTGGGTGGTGATGGTCGTACAACTCAGGCTTGCAGACGTCATTCAAACGTGCGCTTGAAATGGGAGCGTTATGTGACACGTAAATGACAGGCAGGTTTAAAACGTCATGTGAGAAACAAAACCGCTGGCAGGGAAGGAGCGAGTGAGCAGGGGGCCGGGCCGATGGCCAGTGACCTTCCGTAGTCCAAGCCGAGCGTGCCCGCGCTTTCCCGCACAGACCTTCCGGAGCCCTCAGAGTCACCGCTGCGTCACTGCTGCGCGGGGGAACCGGGGGGTCCTTTGAAGTCCCCTGATACCTGGAGTACTGAGATGGCTGTGCTGGTTGCGTTTCAGGAAAAACATGCAGAGGAACAAACAGGTAGCCATGGGCAGGAAGAAATTTAACATGGACCCTAAAAAGGTAAGTGAGGAGGAGGACATGTGGGGAGCCCGTGCTCGGGAGGCCCTGGGGTGCCGGCTCGGGCTCACCTGCCCTCTGTGGAGCCACCCGCACGTTGCGACTCCCCTGCCCTGTGCGTCGACTGGCAGGTGTTTGCTGGATGCTCCCTCGGGGCCCAGAGCACTCCCCACCCCCCGTTTTTCCTGTGCCCCAGACGTTCGGGGGGCGTCACGGGCATGCGCGCTGTCTCCTAGGGCATCCAGTTCTTGATAGAGAACGACCTGCTGAAGAACACCTGTGAAGACATCGCCCAGTTCTTGTACAAAGGCGAAGGGCTCAACAAGACGGCCATCGGCGACTACCTGGGGGAGAGGTGGGCCCGGGCACCCACGGCGCAGCGGGTCGGTCAGGGCTCACACGGGGAACTTGGGGATGCCCCGAGATCTTGAGGGTTTTGTCCTGAGGCGGCAGTGGCTACACTGGTAACGGGGGCGCGGCCTGGGGGCAGCATCCAGGGGTGCTTGGGGGTGTGAGGGCTCCCCATTTGCTCACCCAGCAGACAGAGGCAGACGGGCTCTTCCTCACTGTGTGTGGCCAGGTCCCCTGAGCCCACAGGCGGGGACTCAGCGTGGGAGGCTGCCTGGCTGGGAGTTGGGGTGACTTGGGATTCTCGGGTCAGCATCTGACCCCTGCTTTTCCCTGCCCCATGTTATCTGCTTTTCTTGGCAGAGATGAGTTCAATATCCAGGTTCTCCACGCGTTTGTGGGGTTGCACGAGTTCACCGACCTTAACCTTGTCCAGGCGCTGCGGTGAGTGAGGTTGGGGGAGCACCTCAGGGTGGGGCTGCAGGGCTCCCTTCCACTGTGAGTCCGTCTGGTGCAGTGTTTCGGGGGAGTTACGCCTTGGAGGATGTTTCGAATACCTGGAGGCATCTTTAAGGAAAGCCGTCTGCAGGCCTGCGATGGAAATGCTTGGATGCGTGAAGGGAATTAAGTCACCACGTATCCTGAGAGCGAATTTTGCGAAACTCTCAGGTTTTTCATTTAGTATTCTGGAAATTGATGAATATTTAAATTTTGAAACTTTTTCTAATCTTTAGTTTAGAAAACACTTTAATTACCTGCTCTAGAATAGGAAGTAGGTAGCTGTGCAATTCATTTTAGAAGGAGGGCAGTAGACTTTAATTTTTTACTGAATCTGTCACCTTGTGCCTTGTGAGAAATCGTCCAGTGTTTTCTCTGCCGTCGCTGTGAGTGATAGCGTCATCTTTCGTGCTGTCATTCAGGGAGCCGAAAGTCACGCAGACGACACCTACTGGCCGTGGGTCTCATTGACTTAAGGGGCCAGTCGAGGACGCTTTGATAGGAAGTCTCCTCTGAACCTCATTTTGTTTTGTGGAAATTGGAGTTCGTTTAAGATGAGCGTGATTCACATTTCATCTTCGTTCCTTATTCTGAGGAGGGCAGGCATGCTTTTATATAGGAAAATCTGAATTTTTAAGTTTTTCCTAAACACTGTGCCTTTGAGAGCCGTGGTGAGTTTGTATCTGCACAGAGCTACTGTCCCAAAACACTGCAGCCCTGCGGGTCTCCCTGTGCCTTTTGGTAGAAAAATCACTGGAAGCGTGACGGGGACGGAGCAGTAAGCCGTGTCCCCAGTCCTGCACCGCACCCCGTCTCGGTCCCACAGGCAGTTCCTGTGGAGCTTCCGGCTCCCGGGGGAGGCGCAGAAGATCGACCGGATGATGGAGGCCTTCGCCCAGCGGTACTGCCAGTGCAACGGCGGGGTGTTCCAGTCCACGGGTGAGCGCGCCAGGGGCTGAGGTTCCTCCCTGGGGACGCTGGTCCGGGTGGTACCTGGGGTGGTGCAGAGTCGGAAACGATCCAGCAGTAAGGGAGCGGGACCCCAAGCTGCGTCTCTAAATCACACTCCGTTAAAAGCCACGTTTTCACACATTCTCACCAACACGGGAGAGCGCTGGTAAGGGGAGCAGCCGAGCTCAGTCAGGCGCGTCTGCGGGGCGCACGGGGGCGGGTCTCACGCGGAGGCGCCGCTGCCTGGCGGCGGGCGGTAGGCGTGCGTGTTTTCTCTGCGCGCTGTGGCGCTCTCCCGACTCTGCCGCTGCGTTCTGTGAGCCTGAGCGGACAGCCCCCCACGTCCCGCGCGTGCCCGGGGCGTTTCTGATTGCCCCTCTGCTCTCCTCAGACACGTGCTATGTCCTCTCGTTTGCCATCATCATGTTGAACACCAGCCTGCACAACCCCAACGTCAAAGACAAGCCCACGGTGGAGAGGTTCGTGGCCATGAACAGGGGCATCAACGACGGCGGCGACCTGCCCGAGGAGCTGCTGCGGGTGAGCGCCGGGCCGACCCCCGGTGGGGCAGGGAGCCTCCCGGTGTCTGCGCCTCGGTCGCCTGGTCACGTGAATTCCATGGCGACCTGCGGGGGGGGTGGGGCGCACACACCTGGCAGTGCAGGCGCGGGTGAGGGCCGAGCGGCTGCCCGTCCTTCCTGACTGCCCCCCGGGCCTCCGACTTGTGTGGCCCCTGCGAGCTCCCGGAGGCGGGACGGGTCACTTCCTCCGTCCCAGCACCTGGCGGGGGTGTGGCGCGCTGTCGGCACACGGGTGCTTGGCGAATGGGTGGACAGGAAGGGGAGGAGGGAGAGGGCTCCTGGAGTCGGAGACATGCAGTCTCATCTTTTACCCCAGAATCTGTATGAGAGCATCAAAAACGAGCCCTTTAAAATCCCGGAAGACGATGGCAACGACCTCACGCACACCTTCTTTAACCCGGACCGCGAGGGCTGGCTCTTGAAACTCGGTGAGTGGTCCCTCTGGGCCGGGGCCGCTCACGGGGACCTGGGAAGAAAGGGTGTGTGTGCACTGTGGGACAAGGGCCACCTGAGAAAGGAAGTGACTGCACAGTCCGCGCCCCCAGGGGACGCTAGAGACGGTTGGGGACAGAGTCACTGTGCCATCAGTGTTCCCCACGTGCACCTGCGCTCCCCATCCTCTCTCTGGGAGGGAGGGTCCAGGGCGGTTCCCGGAGCACCTGGTCCTCCCTTCCCTGCCCGCTCACTCACCGGGAGGGTGGCCAGCCGTGTCCATCCTTCCACCTCCCGCCACACACCAGTGCCCGGCTCCTGCCTCCCCAGTGCGTCATCGCCTTCTGCATCCGGCTCCACGGGCAGCGTGCATGGCAACCCTGGCGGCCTTGGCTGCAGCGCGACCCACAGCACCGCTCCTCACTCTCGGGCCCTGGGGCTCCCGCCTCCTCTCGAATCCGAATCGGCCACGTTAATCATTTTGCTCATTCAGAAAGATCTAAAAATTACTCCTCTTCCCTCTGCCACCTGTGAGCTTGTACGGCTGAGAGTGTGTCCTACCCTGCCCCAGAGGTGACAGGGCCACTGAAAGGAAAGGGGTCAGTCGCAGGGTCTGCGTGACGTCAGTCCTCGTGCACACGTGATCATTTTAGTGATCGTTGCCAAACCCCGGGGGGGGCCCTGGACGCCCCGGACATAACGATGCCCGTGGTTTGGCCGCCGGAAGAGCACTTTCCTCTGTTCTGCCCTGGCCTGTGGGAGGCGTGGGCTCCCCCATTATCGAGGGGTGCACGTTAGAGTGACACCCCACTGTTTCAGCGACGGGTTCCAGCGAGATGAGAAGTCGCCACTCTCTTGGCTGACACTGACACACGTAACAAGTGTAGAAAAGGAATTTTTTATTTCTGGCTAGTCTAGATGTCAGTAGGGTTTATATTTTCTAAGTCCTTGTGTTTATATCTAATGACTTAATTCATAAATTTTTCAAGAGGCTCTCCACTGATCGGAGTTTAAAATATCTCTTGAATTAGCCTACGCTTTACGTACCTTTAAGCCAGTAGAATTTTTGCAGCGAAGGCTCTAAAGTCACTGACCTCAGAGGCAACCACTTTGCTTTGCATCTTCATTGCCAAGTGCATACAATTCAAAGGGAACTTGCTGGAACTGTAAAAAGTGCACCCTAGTTTGCATTTACTTTCCCCTCCAGTGAAATTTGTTTAAATGCTAATACCGAGTATTACTGTCAACAGCCCCGATGCTAAAATTAGGGCAGTGCGAAGATTACCTTGGTTCTTGTACCAGGATGGTATGCAAATTTATGAGGCATCCCATATTTTTAAAAAGGAAAAAAAAACTAAACGTGGGACCCGACTTTTAGGTCATCGCGTTAATTCTCGTAAACCTCAGCTCCTCATTGTTTTCGTGGTAGCCCACTTAGACTCACCCCTTCGTGTCCGAGTTGTGTGTACACGTCTGTACGCAGAGAGCCCTGGGAACGTGTGTTCTCGTGTACACACACATTTACATGTGCATTCAGGGGCTTACGTGTGTGCCTTCTCACGCGCACGTTAAGAGTGACAGCCCTGTGAAGATTGTCCGCAGAGTCATCCCCACTGTCTGTGCTCAGAACTGCAGACGTGCTAAGGAATGGTGGCTTTGTGAGAACCGGTGTGCGGTGTCTCGGGGGCCAGGCCCGGCCTCCCCGGCGGGACGTGGCGTCACTCACAGCCACACGGCCGTGTTTTATGCTCGGCTCCCCACCCCTAGGCAGACACGAGTGACTAAGACATTGCACTGGAAGATGAAGGAGCTGGTTTGATTTCTTGGTTTTAATTTTCTTTTCTCCTCGTTTGTATGTTCCCATGGTCTTGGCTCTCCTTTTCCTTGCCCAAACTCCAGGAGGTATGTAACCCCTCAGCCCGCGCGCGTGCTCGCTCGCTCTGCCCAGGCCGCTGTAATCGCCGCCGCGTTTTCTTATTTTGTCGTGTTCGGTTCTTTTGTTCTTTAATTGCTGGTGGTGGTGTTGACGCTGCTGCTAACGTCTCCCGCAGTCCCTAGGGAACTGGCCAGGGCCAGGGGTCTGGAGCCGCTGTCGCGTTTCCCGGTACGGAGCGGTGCGTAGCACGGCAGACAGCGAGGTGCCCAGTGGGGGATGATGAAACCTTTTCTGGAATGAACACGGGAACGCGAGAAAAGGTACCCAGACTGGGCTCGTAAAGCAGAGAAAGCGGTCTCCGAATTTCTTCTCGCAATTATTGGCCAGGCACGTGATCAATTTGTTGCATTCCAGTCGAGACCCGAGAATTACAAAGTAGCTTGAGAACGGAGAAGAGGCAGAGCCGGGATGGCTCTGCAGGCCATGTGCCTCCTGTGACCAGGAGCAAGCTCAGACGTTCACCTTTGCATAGAAGGGACATAGAGTTGCCTAGACTCACAGCGATGTCAAGCAAACAAATTTTCGTTTTAAAGACAAAAACTCAAAATCTCCCCTGGAAATCTTTTCACTTGATTTCCTGGGGATGAGGGGCGGGCGTTACATCCTCAGCTGTTTTAAAGTTTTGTTTTTCTCCCTCCTTTTCAACGAGTCATGGTCACACACCCCAAATCGGCCCCTGGGTGCCGGGGTTGGAGTCCCCTTGCCACTTGCCGATTGGGGAAACGTTTTTCTCAGGCGAGGGGCAAGTCGGCGTCTGCTTCGGCCGACTTGAGCAGAGCTGCACGTAGGAAGGCCACCCGGGCGCTGACGTTCTGGGCAGTGGCAGCTTGTTCCCAGCTGTGGGGAAGTCCGCGCTGGCCCTTCCCTCCGGGGTCAGGGAGCCGTGGGGACGGGGTGGCCCTGTGAGTTCCACAGGGACTGTCCGAGGTGCGCGCTTGGGCTGCTGCTTGTTTCGTGTCTGTTTTCCTTTCCACGCGGAAATGTCCCCTGGGCTGGCAGCGGGCCCTCCCGGCGGAGGCCCCTGAGGCCAGGCCAGGCGCATCACCAGCTTTGACCATCGGGGCGAGCGCTTCCGGCTTTGCTTTTTCTCCTAGATCTCCTTCCATCTTCCTCTGACATCTGACCCTTTCCCTTTCCATGGCTTCCTGAGCCCTGCGTGCCCCCGGGTGGCCCTGTGAGGGGGCGCATGCTGGTCGGCGTGGGTCGGGTGCCCTGGTGCTGAGCCCTGTGTGGGGTGGGGGCCCGAGGGGTGGAGGAGCCGCGCTCCCAGACTCCGAAGTGGGGGAGGGGGCCCTTCGTCACAGAGTGGCTCCAGTTCCAGGTGTGGTCCTCGTCCTCTTGTTCCTTATTTATTTTGATCCCGCCCAGCCTTTCCCGCTTTCCACGCGCATGTCACATTTCCATCTGCATTTCTTTCCTAGTCCATGCCTTTGGCGCCCAGAGGCCCGTGCTCACATAGACCACCGAGGCCCTGGGGAGAGAGTCAGTCTGTTTGACACTACACAGGGCCGGACTTGTAGGCAGCCCCCCTTCCGTGACCTTGGCCATTAGGGATCAATCAATCTCTTAACCTCCCTGAGAGTTCAAGCACCCAGGCAGCCTCCTTAAAAGGGACCGGGAAGTCCAGTAGAGCTCATCCCTGCTGCCAGGACCTGAGCTGGACGCTTCATCTCCGAAACGGGCTTTGTGTTAGGCCAGTGGCCGTGTCCTCCTAGGACACCTGGTGCGAGCAGGCAGGCGGGTCCTGGCGGTGGGAAACACTCCCTGCGAGACCACCCTGCTCTGTGCGTGAGGGCGGGAGCGAAGGCGTGGCCGAGGCCCCAGGCCCTCCTCTCCGTGCAGGTAGGAGAAGTGATGTCCTCCAAGGTACTGCAGAGCCATGAAAAGTGTCTCTGAGACGCCACACGCATCTTAACCCCGAAGGCCTCTGGGTAGCTTCGTGTGGTTCGTGCTCGGGAAGCTGCCCCTCGCCCCAGCGTAGGTGGAGGAACGGAAGGTTTGGTCTCCGGTCCCGACTGGAGGCCGTGGTGAAGCCTGCGTGCCCAGGACCCATGTCGGCGTGGCCTCACGCGCCCCGGGTCGTCTGTCCTTCAGCGAGCAGCACCGACAGGGACGGCGGGAAGCCGCTCCCAGCTCGCAGCACCTCCGTCGGTGCTCCCGTGGCCCCGCGGCCGGCTCCTTCCGTTACAGGCTCCCCGTGAGCAGTCCAGGGACGAGGAGGCCCGAGCGGGACCTCTGCTCACCGGTAAATTCTCCCGAGACAGGCTCCCCTTTCCCGCACCCAGAACCCTGAAGCCAGCGTAGGATCGCACTGCGGTCAGGAAGGTGGGCAGCAGGGGAACCACAGGAGTGTGAGTTCCGGGAGGACTCTGGAGTTGACCGTGAAGGAACGCGAAGGTGTCCCTTTCTGCTTCCTCCTTCCCGCCCCTGCGACGGAGCTGCCCCACGGGCCAGGCCCGGTTGGCCGGCGGCGTAGCTCGGCCGGGGGGCCTACCCTCTCGCCTCCATGGCTTTCATTTGCCATTTCCACCACCTCCTAGACGCTTCTCGAGCCCCGGCCGGACTCGCGCGGCGTGTCACCGCTGTCTGGGCCCCCCACACCGCACCCTCATGCTGCTGTCCCGATTCACCTCCAGGCGCCACCCCACGTGCTTGCTCAGCTTGTGCCCAGCCTTTCACTCCGCGAAAGGCGCTTCTGTCTGCTCTGTGTCTTGTCACCGACGTGGCTCTTGCCACGGTCACGGTGTTGCTGCGGCGCCCCGGCCCCCGCTTCCCCCTCCTCGCTCAGAGAGGGGGGCTTCGTGCGCCTCGGGCCACACGCCGGGTGACTCCCGGGGGACACGCGTCTCTCTTTGCTGTGCAGGTGGCAGGGTGAAGACTTGGAAGAGGCGCTGGTTCATTCTGACTGACAACTGCCTGTACTACTTCGAGTACACGACGGTGAGCGCCTGCAGGGGCGGGCCGGCCTCCGTGCCTGGGCCTCTCTGCGCGGACGCGGTTGGAGGGGCAGTGGGGACACAGTCGGACTGTCTTCTGTCCTCCGTCGTTGGGGTGGGAGGAGAGTTCACAGGAAGTGGCAGAACTAAGAAAAACCCCAGACCCGGGCCCTGAGATGCGGTCCTCGCCCCAGGAACCGAGGCTCTGAGCCGGCATCTGGATCTGGGGGTGGCGGCGGGGTGGGGGCGCCCGCGGGAGGCAGGTTGGGAGGCCCGAGCTCAGGGCGCTGGGAGTGGGGCTTAGAGCCGGGCAGGAAGCACGGCCGTGGCTCAGCTGCCGGGAAGGAGCTTGCGGCCCTGCTGAGGGGGGCGGTGGACGTAATCGTGACCCGGGGAGCCCAGGTCTGGGGGGCGGGGCGCAGAAACGCCGAAGCGTTGGATCCAGAGGAAACAGCCAAGGGGTAAAATACATGATAGAGGAAAAGGAAGCGAAACGAGTGGGGAACGTTTGACGTTATCCGACGTTTGAAGAAACTGAAGTTTTCTTAAACTTGGGAAACTTCATTGGTTTTCATCCAGCGGGGAAGGATTGAACAGCTGCAGACACGTGTCACGTGTCAGTCTCCTGTAATAAGAGCCTGAGAGATGGAAATCAGAACCTAAAGCCATTCGAAGCTCCCTCTGGCAGAGCACTGGCGAGCCTGGCAGAGCGGCTGGTGGCGGCTCGTCTCTGCCGCTCCCGCCCGCCATCCGGAGGGCAGGGATGGCCCGCGGGGCAGCGCCGCCGTGTGTCTCGAGTGAGCTGGAAACGCCGTGCTCTTTCCCCCACGATCTTCACGGAGCGAACGTCACGGGCCCCACCGAGAACGCGAGGGTTTGCACGCGCCCCTCACAGGAGGCTGGCGCGTGGGGAGCTAGAGCACGAGAGGGAGCTCCTGGCCGCGCTCCGCTCCCGTGAGGCCACGTAGAGCGGGGACTCAGGCGCCTCCGCGGCACTTTGCCGCCCGGAGGGAGCCGGCTCTGCACTGCCGGGGTCCTCTGTGCGCATGCGCATGCGCGTGGCGCCCTCCGCGGGGGTGCGGCTCACGACCATCGCTGGGGACGCAGAGTCGCCCGTTCTGCGGACGCTGTGATCGCGGCCTGCAGTCGTTCTTAGGGAAGCCCGGCCAGGCTTGGGGCGCATGGGGCGACCCTCACGCCGCTTAGTTCCGCGACCGCCTGCTTTTCCGTTAGGAAAAGCTTTTCGGACGTGAGAGCAACACAATTCACATCTGCGAGACGGCGAAGAGGCCGATTCTTCCTGTTCCGTGCCCACGGTTCCACTGTGAGCCGCTCGGGGAAGGTCTCTGCCGCCCCCCGGCCACCGCCACGTAGTGCTTTTTCTTACAGATGTGGAGACTGATGACATCTACAGTCTTGTTTGGATTTTTTCTCCTGTTTTCTGGGTTAAAAAGAAACATACACAGGCTTCTGGGCAGTTTACTCTAAGTCCTGGAGGGACACTGTGGACTCCTGCGCTTGGCCCTGACGCCGGGCACGGTGGCATCGCCGACCACGACTCGGCAGCGTGCCGGTGCTGACCAGCTGTCCCTGCAGCGGGAATGCAGCGACCACAGCTCAGGACAGAGGGAGCCTCGGCACTGGGTGGGCGGTGGGCCGGTCCACACACAGGGCACACTGTAGCAGTACACGGGGAATGGCAGCCGACGGGGCCGCGTGTGTCACGCACCTCGGCAGTGAAGGGCATGACGAGGGCCTGGGGGTTCCCGACCCCAGAACGGAGGCTTCAGAGATGGGGACAGGAGCCAGGCAGGGAGGCGCGGCAGCTTCTCTGCGAGGGGGCCGCACGTGCCCACAGCTCCTGCCCTGGGTGTGCTTTCCGGGCCTCTGCAGAGAGGCCTTTGGTCATCAGGGTTCACGTGTGTGGCCTCGGCAGCGCCCACACGTTTCTCGACCCGGTTCGTGTTTGCGAGCGTCCGGCGTGGGTCCCAGCTGAGTCGGGCGAAGGTGGGAAAAGGCAGAGCGCGGTGCCAGCGTCCACGCTCGGGAGCCTGGCCACCAAGGCCTCCTCTGCCGCCTCTCCGCAGGACAAGGAGCCCCGTGGGATCATCCCGCTGGAGAACCTGAGCATCCGGGAGGTGGAGGACTCCAAGAAGCCCGTGAGTGTCTTTGGCGAGATGTTTGGGGGACGAAAGAGATCAGTGTAGCAGGTCTCTGCAGAGTCACGTCGCAAAGGTTTTCTTACAAAACACTGTCACGCTTGGATTTGGCCTGACTTTTAAAATTACCTTGAGAGTTCAAGCCAAAGGTGGGGCTCCAAGTACCCCCTCTTCTGTCCACCCGAGTGCTTCCGTGTCACTTCCTGACCGTCACACGAGGGTAGAATTGTCCCTCCCGAGAAGGCAGCGGCAGCAGGCACTCGTGACCCGGCCACCTGTTCCGTGGGCAGCGGGTGCCTAAGTGGCCTGCCTGTCCTGTTGTGGACTCTCAAGGCCTCGCTGGCTTGGTTTTAAAAGGCGGTTCGTGCTCTCTGGTTCCGCCATCTTTGTTACGTGGTGGGAGCCGACAGATGCCTGGCCGGTGTTTTGCTAGTAAGGCCTGTCAAACACGGTCCTGTTCCCCGGACCCCCACCCCAGCAGACAGCCTTTGGGGAAGGACGTTAACATTTTTTCCCGGTCAGCAGCGTTCTTAGATCGACCTCACTCCCTGTTTGTGTTCTCAGAACTGCTTTGAGCTCTACATCCCCGACAACAAAGACCAAGTGATCAAGGCCTGCAAGACGGAGGCCGACGGGCGCGTGGTGGAGGGGAACCACACCGTGTACCGGATTTCTGCCCCGACGCCCGAGGAGAAGGAGGAGTGGATTAAGTGCATCAAGTAGGTGGCGTCCGAATACCGGGTCCTCCCCTCCCCCCGCAGCTGTTAGGTGCACCGCCAGGCCTCCCCTGCGAAGGGCTTGACCGGGGCTTGCAGGCCACTTCCCAGCGGCTTGGTTCTTGGCCGGCCGTCATAGCGTTTGGGGGGGCCTCAGATCCAGGCTTCTCGGGTACACCTCGAAGGCCCAGAGAGGGAGCGGGTGGCCGGCGGGAGGGCACGGAGCCGTGTGCCAACTGGGCTTTCCGTGTCTTGGGAAGCAAGTCCGATTTTGGTAGCAGCTCAGTGGCCATAGTCGTCACCGCGTTTTATCATTTCTTAACCTTGTGAGACACTGACGTCCCGTTTACAGACGAGACTCGGGCCCGCGGAGGTCAGGCAGTTCTCCCGCAATCACGGGGCTGTGATCCAGGCTCAGGCTCTGTGTGAGGAGCCGTGGGTCTGGCGCGGGGCAGCCCATGGGTTAGTGCACGGGTGTAAACCGGGCTGTGGGTCCAGGCTTGGCCCCTGGTTCCCGCGCTGCCCAAGTGACCGAGCCACACGGCCTGGGTGCGTCACGGGCGGGAGTGTCCAGACGCAGCGTGCCTTCTCCCCTTCCGCCCGGGACTTCTGTGAAGCCTGCCCAGGTCGCTGCCCCCCCCCGCCCCCGTGCGCGTGCTCATCATTGCTCACGGTGGTGGCACGTCGTCCCAAGAGCATGTCCTCGCCGTCCTCGCTTTCCCCACCGGGCACTTCGTTCGTCAGATGCAGCCAGCTGTCCCTCAGTGTCTCCCCATCACTGGGCCTCTTGACTTCCCCTAGAGACCAGGAGACCGCACTGCCTAGGTGGCCTGAGACCCTGGCCTTGTCCCTTGTGATGGGCATGCTCCCCGAGGCCACAGCCTGCTCCTGACGGGGCTGAGCGCCCTCTTGTTCTTGTTTGGGGCACCTCAGGTCAAACCAGTGTAGCGTCGCGGCCGGGGTCAAGCAGTGAACAGACGTCAGTCCCCTCCTAGCCCCTCCATGTGGCCAGACATCTCGGTGAGGCCCCTCAGTACATGCCGTGGATGCCGTCCAGTCCTGGCTTTCCCCAGGAGCCATGGGACACTGCTCACGGACACGGGATCGCCAGTGAGCCAGTCCCCGTCCACTCGCGGGAGCCAGCACTCGCTCGGTCAGGCACAGAGCCAGTGGCCACCTAGGCTGGGAGCAGCCCCGGAAGCTGGCCGCCCCTGGAACACCGCTTCTCTGTAAAAGCAGATTCAGCTTCACTGTCTCCGAATCACAACCTGCTTGCTATTTGAGAATGATAAGTCTGAGGCACGGTGTGGCGTCTGAGGCCTGCTGCCCCCGTCCAGTGCTGGTCCCCCCGGGGCCAGTGCAGGGGTGTGCTCACGCTTCCTCCCCACCAGGCTGTGGACACAGGGCAGGCCTGGCTCGCTGAGGCCCTGGCGACAGCGCTGACTGCCCAGTTCCTGGGCTGGTAGCACAAGGACTCAGAAGTGACACAGGACAGACCACAGCAGCCATCCGAAAGCTACTGTGCCAGACCGACGCCAGCTGGCGTCATGGGACTGAAGCACCGCGTTTGTTTTCCTACCCAGAATTCAGCTGAGAGAACGTACAGCATTCTGTCCCTGGACCTGAGTGTTAGGTTGAGCTAGGCAGTAGGCGCCCCAAAATGATCTGGTCACCCATACCATGTGTCTCCCTCGAAGCTTGTCCCTTCGCCCATCGTGTGGGCACTGGGAAGGGTGGCCTTTACGGTGACACTCAGGCCGGGCAGGGTCTGGGAAGCTGCCCCCGGGGGTGTTGCTCCCGGTCCTCAGCCTCTCTCTTTCTCCCCCTTCCCGCGTGCCAGGGCGGCCATCAGCAGGGACCCTTTCTACGAGATGCTGGCGGCACGGAAGAAGAAGGTCTCCTCCACGCGAAGACACTGAGTCCGCCGCGGTGGGGCCTGCGTGGCGCCAGGCTCTCCGTCCCTGCCGAGCGGGAGCGTCTGCGGGCATCAGCCGAGTGCTAGAGACTGGCTTCAGCTTTTGCTGCTTTTTAGGTGGGAGAGGGGTAGGCCGTTAGCACTGGGGAAGGGGGACTGACGCCTGTCCCGCAGGGCCTTTGAGCCTCTCCCAGGAAAGGACAGCTGTCAGCAAGGCCGCGTGCCCGTGGGTGTCCCCACTCCGCAGGACCCACGGTGGCTCTCGGGGCCGGCCGTTTCCTCCGGGTCGTCCCCCCGTGAAGAAGCCTTCACCCCACAGTGCAAACACACGTACTGATGCATCGTTACACGTCAGGGTGTGACGGGAGAGAAGCCACGTACTATAAAGATATATTTTTGGGTTTTAAAAAAGAAAGCTAGAGCCGTTCAGACGCATCTGCCCCATCTGGCTGGGCGGCTTCTCCCTGGGTAGCTGCCGGGCGTCGGGCCCAGGTGGGACCAGGCCGCCCCTTCTGCGCCTCGGGGGCCGGTGGGCACGAGAGGGTCTCAGGACGTGACACGGCGTCCCACGGGCCCGCAGCGGCCTGGGGCAGGCGACGCTCCCCAGCCCCGGCCCAGGAGCACTGAGCGGGGAGAGAACCGTCTGGCACTCACATCGCTCTTCCCCTTCAGAATTCATTCCTGTCGGGCTTTAAAGTAGAAGTCAGCATTTTTCCTTGAGCTAAGTAACTAATAACCAAAACTGTGAGGCAGGTAACCCCCGCAGGGGCTCCGGGGTGACCTGGCCGTCCCGTTCGGTCGTCCTTCCTCCCCAGACTCCAGTCCTCGTTGTAGAGGAGGGAGCCGGTCTCATTTCATCACCCCGGGGCTTCAGCGTTCCCGCCTCACCTGGACGGGAGGGGCCGGGGCCTTCACCTGCTGGTCGGCGGCGGCAGGTGTACGGGGGTGGGGCGGTGGGCTGCGTGTCGCTCTGCTGCCCCCGACGGCGCGTGGGAGCCCAGCCTCTGCCCTCCCGACCCGGTGCGCGGGGAGCCACGCCGCGCAGCCTTCTCCTGCTTTTCTCTCAGGGACTCTCGGGGGCGCCTGCCACTCGCCCAGGACCCGCGTGCCGGTCCGGGTCGTCTGGGGCCAGGCGGTGCCGAGCGCTGCCTTGCGGAAGAAGGTCACCCCCGGGCAGCGGGGCCTAGCCCCCCGACACCCGAAGGGCAGGCTCACATCTCATCTCTGGAAATAGCTTTTGTAAAAGGGACTGGTGGAGGAGTGTCGGGGGACCCTTCGGGGCCCCCCGTTCGTGCAGGTTACCTGGAGCTCGTGGAGGTGGCAGGAGGGTCCAGGCGGGAGACCCAGGGCGGTGCAGCCGCTGTCCCAGTGGCCTCAGGCCACGCCGGAGCCCGCCCTCCGCTGGCCAAGCCCTGGCGCTGGGTCTCCACCTGTCACCTGGACAGAGAGTCACCTGGTCAGTATTAGTCTATTTATCAGAGGTGTAAATAATCCATGTATAGTTTTTCTCCTTTTAGATTATTTTGTATTTGTTTAAAAAAAGTTTTCTCAAAATATATAAAGAAATGACAAAGTTGTTGACAGGGTTTTTAAAAAATGATAATTATTATTCCAATTGTTTTTTGGTTGTTTTTTTGCATTGTAAACTAGCGCCAAGGAACTGCAGCAAATAAACGCAGATCTGCCCAAACCGTCTTTGTCGACTGTGCGTTCTGTCTGTCGTACCCCAGTGGGCTCTGAGGAGGAAGGTCGGGCCACCGGTGTGCAGGGGGTGTGTCCCTGTCACTTCTCGTCTTACGTCTCGTCATGGCATAAATTGGAAGTGGGGAGGAGGGTTCTCTCCCGTTACAGTGTGACCAGAAGGACATTAGCACAGTCACTGCCCACTTTTTTGAAGAAGAAACAAATGTCAAACATTCACCTTTAAAGTAAGGTCGAGAAACGTGCCTCCGCTGATGTGAAACGTTCTCAGTACATTCCAGTTTCCGGTTATGATGCTGGAAGAGTCACAGTGACACAGAGCTCAAGGACACTTAGGGCAGCATCACAGAACAGGGAGAGAGAGACGGGCCCGGCCTGCCCCTTCGCTGCGGTCCCCTCCCCCGGCCCGCGCCCTCCGCTGCGGTCCCCTCCCCCGCTGGCCCGCGTCATCTACCAGCCGCGGCAGGTTTCTACATCCCAGCCCTTCCTGTCCCCCCGATGGCTTCTCCACTTCTCCAGGTGGGGACAGACATTGGACGCGGAGCTCAGCTTTCCTCCTTCTGATGCCAAGCTTAAGGAAGGTGACTGTTTGTTTCCTCTTGGGAAGAAGGGTCATCCTCGCCTGCCTCTCGTGGACCTTCGTCAGCTTTCCCCTCTCATGCACATCCTTAAATCTCGCCCACCACCAGTC